GATTAGGAACAAGGAGGACAGGAGGAGGATTTTTCTTTATAGCAGGAAACAGACATTTAATCATAAAACATGATTTATTTRATGTTAATCTGAATCAGTTTAGTGTTGTTTGTAAATATATTTGACAGTTTTGTAGGAATGAACACGTTTGTAATGTTTGTTCAAAATAAACCTGCTTCTTATGACTTCTGTAACATGTTTTGAATAAAATATTATCAGTAAAAACCTCAAATCATGTCCTTTCTAATAAACATTAGAACTAGAAGAACTTTAACTCAGCAGAGTTTCTCCCAGGATTTTTTTAACAGTGGTGGTGACCTCTCATGTGGGAGTTTGACAAAATCTGGTTGTCCTCAAAACATTTTGGTTGTCCAAAAAATATCTCAATAAAAATATAATTTAATAAGTAGGTTATATTGTTCTGTATACAGAGTGTAATATATACAAATGTTGTCAGTCAGCAGGTTACTGACTGCTACTTCCTCATTCTCCTCCTCATCCTCTTCTTTGAAATAGAGATAAAAAAAACCAACATCCAACATCCATAAGCTTTCTGCTTACAGGTCAAACATTTTTATTTAAATAGYAGTAAACTGTGTACTTATTAAAAGTTACAGTTTTGTGTTCTTAGGACTGAAGATTTTCTGAGAAAAGAAGTTTTTAAACATCTTTTCTATAATTTTAGTGTTTTTAACTGAGGAGCTTTGATATTTATTTAAAATAAATTATAGCAGAGGAAGTTCTCTGCACAGAAAAAAAAATTTTTTTACTGTTTTTTTAACCAAACTGACAAGTTTCTCCAGAAAAATGATTGTGTAATTTAAAGGCATTGAAACACCTGGTTAAATTTAGAAGGTATTATGATTAACTACAAACATCTGAAGCTGACTCAGAACTCTGTGATTTTAGAAAAATAAAAGTCAAATGTTGACATGTCTTTGAAAGACCCTCCTCCCCACCACCCCGCGCAGCTGCGGTCAGCGAACCTCCACTCCACCCGTGTGATTAATACTAATTTTTTGCGCAAATTACAAATTTTTGAGGCTCATTATACACGTAAATGTCTGAAGGGATTGACATGTATGAACTTTAACTCCCGGGCTGGTTGGAGCTGCAGGTGGACATGTTCGCTGCCCCTCGCTTTAAAAACAGTCAGCTGATCTGTCACAGTTTTGTTGCGCTTGTGACGTGAACACACAGGGAAATGCTGCGAAGTGCTTTTAGAAATATAATAAATATAAAATACGACGTAATCCTCGGTGGAAAATAGTCCAGGAAACGCGGGAGGTGTTCACCTGCAGCTGAGTGAAGCTGACCCCCCACCCACAGAGAAAGGAAAAAAGGCAGTAATTATTGATAAGGTAACCATGCTGTGGCTTCACCTGTAGCATTTTCTTTTAAAGAAAGAAAAAGTAGCTTACATAGCTGTTGCATCGGTGCTACATGATTAAAAGCAGAGCGCCCCGCCTGTATAATGGTAGGGGAAGCTGATCGTGGGCATGCAGTTTACTGCGCCACTGTCTGCCTTTTTTTTCCTCCCACTGTCTTCCCATGTGTGTTCTACACACACTTTCTTGTTTACCTGTTTCTGCAGGATGTACAGCGGGCTGGGGTGCGTGTGTGTGAGAGAGAGCAGCGTAGCAGTCAGCCCCCTCCTCCTCTCCTCACCCAAGGCTGAGGGAGGTTGAAGGAGAGTCAACAGACGATCATGCTATGCTTGCTAACTGTTCCACCATCTGACTGCTGCAGGGGCGTGTCTTAGAGAGAGGCTTTTATACCAGAACACAGCCGCTGTGACGAAACCGTGGAGAAGACGAGTCATCGTGGGGAGCGTTAATCAATATGCAAATTAGTACCACTGCTCTACCCATATGAGCAGCAAAAAGACGTTTTTAGATCAAATATTACAGATTTGAACAAATACGCTCAAAATCATCAAAATTAGCACAGAAAAAGTACTATATAACATTTAAGACACATTCTAGACAGTTTATCAGCTAAAAAGGTTCATTTTGGGTTAAGTTCCTCTTTAAAATTACTGTTTGACGTGAACATGATATTTTGTTATTTAGCACAAAGTAATATTAAATGCCCTGCCGTGAGGAGGCGAGCAGCTTAGCCTTTCTCCTTCCATAAAGCTGGGTCCTTGTGAACCGGCGACTGCTGTTTGACTGCAGCTTGAGCTGCTTTTCCCTCTCCATAACTGGGTCCTCGTTAAGCACTGGCCGCTGTTCAGCTCCAGCGTGAACCGCGTTTCCACCGGGCCCTCGGGAAGCAGCAACAGACGCGCGTTGGCCTCGATAGATTCATCCAGTTTTCAGACCCTTCTGCCTTTTTTAGTGACATGAACCTGTATAGAAAACAATTATGACTATGTGGTTCTAGGCAAATCATTAGTCATAAATCATTTTCTTAAGTTCAGTTGTAGTTCTAAACATTAGAGTGGTTTTTCACTCACTTTTTGTTTCTCTTACGTTGATATTTTTCTCCTACAGCCTAGATCACAATTACATTGACCAAATATGCAAATTGGATAATGATGTCATCTAGCAATTTTTAGAACAGCAAATATTTGCTTTTTATTTGGCAGCAGTGCATGTCGTCAGTGTAAACATTTTCCTGTTGAGGATGTTTTTCCTTTAGGACAGCCCATAATCTTGAATGCGTGTGGCTTTGTATAGGTTAGTTCATCGAAAGAACATTTGTAAAGGCAGGTGAGAGCTATTCAAAATCTGGACGTTGGTACTGGCCAAAAAACAGTGTTGTTGCATCTCAAGACAGTATATTCAGCAAAGTACCAAGTCTTCTTTTAATTTTTATTTCCTAAGTTAAAAGTTAAAAGATTTTGAAATCTTAATACTTATACCCTGGAACAGTGGTTGCTAACGAATGCTGGTTAAAGTATGTAAATCTTGCTACAAAGCTATTTTAGTGTTGTCAAATTTTGTGATTTTTTTTTTTTAGCCATTTAATTCTACACTTCTTGTTTGTCTCTGTTATGGTAAAATGTGCTATTGGCAATCCTATCTTTAGATTTCCTCAAGACCACCAATTTGGTATTTTACCAACTACATTCCAGTGGGGTCCCCACCCCAGCTTTTGTGGGCCACTCCTCTGAGGCTCTTTTGGATCAGAAATATTTAAGGATCTAAAAGAAACCAGTTACGTAGATTAAGAAATATTCCAAATGTAATATCATGAAGATATTTCTTTGTAATTATTTCACTGAATTGGGTTGTCAAAACAAACAAAAAAAAAAACTAGTTTGAGTTTTTAAATTCTTCCTATCATTCAAACTGTCTTAATGTTGGTTTAACATTATATCAGAGTAAAATCTATTGTAGTTTTGTCAAATTACATGTCACATAATTGAATGCTGCGACTAATTCACCAGGTTGTGTAAATTTGTATAAAATGTATATTTATATACTAATGTCATTTATATGTCAGCTGCATCAAAGGGATGAAACCAATTACTATTTTTTTCCTCTAAATTAATGAATAAAAATAGGAAACTACTGTAGGAAACCTGATTGTTGAAGTCAGAATGTACCAAAAATCTATTTGATCAGGTACTTTCTACAGCATGGTACTTCCTGTTGCTTTGTAGTGCACAGTTGTGGACTCACTGAATTGGTTGCACATAACCCCACCCACCCAAAAAAAATAAAAATAAAAAAATTCTCACAGTAACTCCAAAGGGAAGGAAGGAAGGAACATATGAAAGCGAGGAGGATCAATGCACACATGCAGAACATTGTTGGTTGTTGCTGGGTGGGTCTTTGAGTTACAGTTGTTGTCATCCTGATTTGCTGTCATCAAAGACAAATGAATCAGACTTTCTAACCTGCTGAGCGAGTCAAGTAGGATCTGTTATTATTCACACTGTTTGACTTCAGTTAAACTCCAAAGATTTCTACCCTGGGAATAATAATAACCTATAGGGATTTTCAGATTTACAACCTGTTGGATCACAGTCTGGGCGTGCCACAACAACTAAACCTACAAATTCACACAGTTCAGCAGCAAAACATCTAATAAAAAACAATGTTTATGTGAGATTTTTAACTATGCGGATCTTGTTTTATGAAAACGTGTAAGGCCTTTTTTCTCCAGTTTTTTTTTTCATTTCATGGAAATGTAGATTATTTTTTGTGTCATTTTTGTCCCTAAGTTTATAGTATTAGGGCCAGAGCAAACTATAGGAGAGTAAATGACAAAATCAACTACTTGGGATTGAATGAAAAATGCTGAAAGGGAAAGTGAAAGATTCACAAGTGTAATGTATATTTTCAGACAGAATTAGTACCTCTCATCACTAAATGTAATTTATCAGGCTTTTTTAATGCTTTTGTGTTTTTATTTTCAAATGACTTTACTGACATTCTGCATATTTTATTGTTTTCTCTTTCTCTAGCTTACTGGCGGTTCTGGCTGTGTGTTACTGTCGTCTATGAACTCTTCCTCATTTTCATCCTGTTTCAGGTTTGTAAGCAAAATGACAATCATGTGATATTTGACCCAAAAAACAACGTATTTCCCCCACTGAAACTGCTGATTCTTACGCTGATCTTTGATTTAAATCTTGAGTTGTTTGTTTTTTTATAAATCTACGAACTGAGGCCAGCGACATGTTTAAATCAAACCTCAACTAGAAGCTTCTTTTCTTTTTTACTTATTTTAACAAAAGATTCATTAAGCCGAAGCTACCAGAATTTTACAGTTAGGCCTTTTATTTTGGAGAACTGAACTTGCCAAAATCAAGAATAACTATGAAAATGCATAAGTAACTAATTATGACCCCCGCACACGAAGCTGGGGTCAAATTGTTTTCGTACGTTTTTTTTTTCCCCCCAGTGATTTTTGGTCAACCGTAGCACAAAAATTGCTGCACCAATCAACCTGAAATTTGTCAGGACTGTAGATGAGTCGGACCAACACTGGCCAGCCAACGATTTTACGATAGACCCCATATTTGAGGAGGTGCCTCCTCTCAAAGAGGGGGTGTCTGGACATGCAAAAATGCTTATAACTCAGAAACTGTTCAACATAGGAGCTTCAGATTTCTTTTGTTGTTTAGCTCTGATGAAGGCCTATCCATCAGGCCCACCAATTGTGCCCCCACACCCCCGGACCCCCAATTTATCTGAAAAAGGGGTATCTGTACATAAATCTGCTTTTAAACCATCCTTCTTCACCTACCCAATCCCATGATGCATTGCAGGTGAAAGCTGTCTGAAAAGCAGGAAATAAGGCTGTGAGAATATTCTCAAATTTCTATTTTTCTTGACACAAAACTAACTTTTAGAAAGTTTTTAGGCGAGAATGTAGCCCTGTAGAACTCAAATATATACTTGCTTTTTAAATATTTGGCTTAAATACAATTTTACTCAAACATTTTCTGAGTGTCTCTGCTCTGTTTTGAGCTGACCACTGAAGACAACGCGTGTGCACACACCCATACCCACACAGTCTCGGACACAGAAACAACATTGTGAGGCAGGACAACTACAGATAAGTGATAATTTCCACCTGTGGGCACTAAATTTATTATTGTTATTATTATTGCTTATTACTATTTTTTAACATACTTTGAAAAACCAAAATATGGAATAAATTTGAAACTACAAGCATTTGTAGAGCGCACACCTCTGCCAACCCTGTAACATGCATGTGGTGTGATTAACACTCAAAAATCCGATTTTTCTCTGGACTTGAACACATCACAGACCCTCCGTGTGTCTCATCAGCTGTTCAAAACAAAGCTTTAGAAACACAGCCACAATGGATAAATGTAAACTCCAGCTAAAAAGTGGCTGGAAAACAAAGAAACAGTGGTCTGGCTGCTGCCTGACAACAGTCAGGAGGTGGAGGATTTTTTGTGGTTTGGGGAAAAAAGAACCGAACCGGTGGATGTGTTTAAGGTAAGCTAAATGCGCCAAGAACTGTTCATCTGCTGCAGGGCTTCCTTCCTCCTCCTGAAAGGAAAGTTTGATCTGTTTTCAGATTCTCACATTGTTGAACAGTTTGAGTTGACTTTAAAAAAACAAACTAACCACAAAATGAATCTACAAACTATGGAGCTCTGTAAGGAGTCTGTTGGAATATATATTTACCTGTTCTTACAATACAATTGATTTGCCTCAGGCTTTGATATATGGATGCAAATAGCCTACTCATATATTTAGTGTCATTTAAAGGGTGGGATTTTCCTCAAATTCTTACAGCTTGGCAAGAGTAAAAATAATGATTTTATTCTTATCACCCCAAAAATGTTTAGAGCTCAGGATATCTTTTTTACTGTAGGCTTGAGTTTGTTTGGTTTTGTTTTCACTCAATATTTAGAACAAGTATTATTATTCTACTGCTTTATTTGCAGATCTTTTTTTTCTTAAATGTTATGTATACCATTTCTGTTTATATAGAAAGAAAAATAACTATATAAAAATTATCCACAGGGCCTCTAATGAATTAATTGTGTACTTATTATTAGGAAATCAAATCATTTAAAGAAATATTGAATCAAATTGAAATTGAAATTGAATCAAAATAAAATCAAAATGTGACCCGAGGGGTGTTTTAATTGAATTGTGAGGTTTTTAACAATACCCAGCATGAATTCATCTAAATGGATTGTTTGGAAGGACTTTAGAAAGATAATGAGAGGAAGAGTAAAAGTTGGAGAGACCGTTGTGTTTGAGTGAAACCAGTTTTTTTTTTTAATGGAAGAATATTGTTATTTTCATAAAGCTGACTGTTGGTTTAAACTGCAGCCATACCTCCTTAATACTGCATGTTTGTCTCTGGACTGTAGCTACACCTGGTTAACATCACAGTACACCTACAGTAGACCTACAGTATATTTCAAGCTATTACTAAACATGATGGAGGATCGCATTGCTTTAGCTGGGCTAGGAGTGTTTACTATTATTACAATTTCATTTAAGCTAATTTTTTCCTAAAAGTTAGACCACATTATGTTTGTTACACTGTGGCTAGAAAGGACAAAGTTATATAGCCTACTTTATGCCCACTTTATTTATTGTGCTGTTTCCTTACCTGTGAATAGAAAGTTGATTTGTAGTGTAACTATGATAAGCTGATTTCATGAATAATGAACTGAAACAGCAAAACTCTGACCCATAATGTAACATTCAGGTAAAAAATAAAGATACTGCAGTTTTTAATCTAATTTTCAGGTAAAGTTCAGGTTAAACACTAGCTTTCACAATTTTACCTTGATAATAAACTGGTTTTAGATTGTTTTATTAATCCAATAAATTTAGTAAAATGCTCTTCAAATGATTGGAAAATGCATAATTTTGAGTAGATTTTTAAAAAACCTTCCAGGGGGGCATGCCCTCGGACCCCCCAGGATTGGTTCACTCCACAGCTGTTTGTTAATATTAATGCGTCTCATTGATGTTAGCAGGTTTCATGTAGGCTTCGGACATTCTGTTTTAAATTCAATCTGTAGTTGTTAACTGTTTTAGTTTTAGTCAAAACAATTTCCTTTTGAATGTGAATATATGTAAATAAGCAGCGAGATTTAGAAAATTGCATCGACAAATAGCTTCCCTTGGGTCTTAGCTCTGCTGGGGGCTAGGCACCCCTAAATGTCAGATCCTAGAATCGTCGCTGTGGTTCGAGCAGAAGACGTGCTGCCACGCTTGGCTCTGTGGTCACAGCAGCATTGTTGCACTGGTGCATGCAGGGGTCATTATGTTACCGCTGTGCAGTATCTAGTTTAAATAGTCAACATCAATAAACATTTTGAAAATTTGTAATTTCATTCCATTGTATTGTAAGAAATATTCGTGTTCAAAGGCTGAAGTCAGTAGAAAACCACCAATGTTAAATAATATGATTGTTAGACGAAATAAAACCAAACAAAACCAGAATTCTGGAGTGAGGATTTATTGCCATTCTGATCTGACAGGAAACCACACACTGCCGGCCAACCAGGAAGTTAATCCATTTATACAGAGTCTTCAATGCCTGCGTTCGCCCCCTACTGACCTACGGCTGAATCACAGGCATTCATCCACAATTCTCCCCTACTGTTCTCATAACGGATAAATATGTGTTGTTATAGTTATTTCAGACATGTAACTAATCTATATCAATTAACACATAATAGATTGAACATTATAAAAAGGAAAACCTAAAAATAAAGTGTTGTGCTTTTAACATCAGTACTAAACTCTAATAACTATAAATTTCTTCAGTATGCTTTGCAGTGTGTTTTGACTTTTGCGTTTACCCTTTGTATTTCTCTTTTTTGTTTCTGTAGTTTTTTTAAATCACTTAATTTAAATTTAGTTGATTTAATGTTTGTTTGTTTTTTTACAT